ATGACGAACCTCGATTTCTTAACCCTTCTGGACTACTGAGCACTCTAGCTAGAAGGCCCTTTCTCAGAAGAGGAAATTTCCAAGGCTATTGACGACTTAGCCAAAGACAAAGCACCGGGTCCAAACGGATTCCCCATTGCCCCTTTCAAAATCTTTTGGGATACATTCCAAGCAGACTTCAAAAGCTTCTTTGAGGAATTCTTCCAACGGGGAATCCTTCATAAAGCAAACGTCACCTTCATTGCTTCAGTTCCTAAGGTCGAAGGGGCAAAGGAATTAAAGGACTTTCGTCCAATTAGCATGCTCAACTCCTCCGACAAATTTTATTTTTTTTATGAAGTTAACTTGTATTATAATGGTAAAAGATTACATGGAAAGAGTGGTCCGATGTCACCCATAGTTGGGGACTCAACAAAAAATTGTTTAGACTATCTTGTACAAAAAGGGCTTATAGAGTTGCCCAAATACAAAGATTTACAATGAGCTTTCAGGAAAAAACAATTGTGCAAAAACTCAGGCAGAGAGATTTAACTTGTCTGCCACTGGTCCCACACAAAAAAGACGACTCCTACAAAATTTTGGCCAAGGTTCTGACCTCAAGGTCAAAACAAGTACTTCCCCTAATCATATCGCCGCCTTAGTCACCCTTTATCAAAGACAAGCAAATCCTAGATGGGGCTTTAGTGGCACACGAGGGCCTACACTTCAGGCACATTTCCAAGAAGCCTGGTCTTATTTTCAAAATTGATTGGAAAAAAGCATATGACCACGTAGACTGCTCATTGCTAGACGAGACAATGGCAAGACTGGGATTCGGGGACCTCTGGAGAAAGTGGATGAGAGGCTGCTATTCTCATCCCCACTTCTCTGTCCTCATTAACAGAACTTCAAAAGGGTTCTTTCCATCCTCGGGGAGGCTCCGCCAAGGGGACCCACTATCCCCTTTTCTCTTTGCCATCGTAGTAGAAGTCGTTAGTCGCTCAATCACTCATATGTACCAGGAAGGTCTCCTCACTGGCTTCAATTGCAGTCCTCAAGGCCCAATAGTGTCTCATCTGCAATATGCAAATGACACTTTGGTGTTCTTAGACGCTTGTCCAGAAGAAATTGAAAATCTAGGCTTTTTCTCAAATGCTTTGAGACAACTACAGGCTTCAAACTCAATATGGATAAATCAAGGATGATGGGGGTGGCACTCACAAACGCCGAAACCACGGCACTAATTCCAAATTGGGAATGCAAAGTGGAGGACTTTCCCACCACCTACCTGGTCTACCCTTGGGACTGGGAAAACCTAAAAGGGGACAGTAGTCCCAAGTCATAGAAAAAGTTGACTGGCATTTGGCAGGTTGGAAAGGGAGATACCTCTCTCTGGTCGGCTGCACTACGCTGGTCAAAGGAACATTAGCAAATGCTCCGGTGTACCTACTGTCTATCTTCGACATGCCAGCCTCGGTGGCCAACCGTCTAGACCAACTAAAGAGGAATTTCCTTTGGTCAGGACAAGACGAGAAAACCAAATGTCACCTCATCTCTTAGGATAAGGTCCGACTACCCAACTCCAAGGAGGGCTAAGGATTAGGGACCTAAGAAAAAACAACTTGGCCCTACTAGGGAAATGGTGGTGGTGTTTAGCCACCCAGACTAACTTCCTTTGGGTTCAGGTTATACATAGCAAATATGAGATTTCTACAGAAACTTGGGTGCCTGAGAGGAAATCCCCGAGTAGGGCCCCAGGAGCATGGAAGTCCTTTCCCTCCTGCCTCTCACTGTTCAAACAATCCATCCGAATTCATCCTAGAGAAGGTACAAAAGTGCGCTTTTGGTCAAACCTCTGGATAGGACACACTCCTCTAAGGGACCTCTTTCCATCCCTCTACCATCCTGCCTTTAACAAAGACTCTACCATAGCAGATGAAATGGTCCTCTCAGGGGGCCGAAGAGTCTAGAACCCCTCTTTCAAAAGAAACCTCACTGAAGAGGAAAGTAGATTTTTCCTCTCACTTTCGGTTGCTTTGTATCCCATCTTCATAGCTCCACTTGGGAGGGACTCCCTAGTCTAGACCCTTGCTCCCTCTGGTACCTTCTCAGTAGCCTCATTTTACAAAAGGCTTATTCAACCCCCCACCTTCCCACTCAATCGTATCTCTGTCCTTTCCAAGGTCTGGTCCACCATTGCTCCTCCCAAAGTGTAGACCTTCAACTGGATTGCTTGTTCTCAACGGGCTCTCACAGTTGACCAGCTCCAAAAGAAAGGGATTCCCTTCAATGGGTCACTCCGCCCTCGGTCAAGGCTCTTATCTCCTCATACTACGCTTGTCATTGGCCGAAGGCCAAAAGAATATTGTGGAAGGCTGCCATCGCAGCTACTATCTAGGTCATCTGGTTAGAAAGGAATGCCAGGGTCGTCCAAGGCCACAAAAACGTAGTCTCGGTTCTCTTCCACAAGGTTACTTCTCTAGTAACTTTCTGGGCTTCCAACCACAGGGCTTTCCCAGGGATTTCAGCTAACACTTTTCTCAGCCAATAAGAAAACATCGTTTATCTACAACCACAGAAGCTCCAAAGACCCAACAACTGGCTGCCACCTCCAGAAGGCACCATTAAGCTTAATTTTGATGGCTGCTCTCTGGGGCCGGAGGTGTCTTCCGAGACCATCATCGCAATATCTTGTTCACTTATTCTGAATACTTAGGCTATGAAGACTCTCAGTATGCTAAAGCCATGACTCTGCTCTTGGGTCTTAAAAGCTTCAACCATTCATGGAGATCACACTTGTTGGTGGAAGGAGACACCCAAAATGTCATCTCTTGGGCAGCAAGTACTTCACCACGTCCATGGTACCTATCTTCGATTTTTGATGAGATTGCTTACACTTGCAGGGATATGGTCGTCTTGTGGAAGCATACCTGTAGGACATCCAACGAGTTCGCCAATCTTATGGCGAAAGACGGAGCTAGGGCCCAAGCAGAAGACCCCACTCAGTCCATCTCCTTTTTTGCTCTGGACCACAGAGAGCGCATAGGCGTTTAGTTACACCTTACTACAGATCTTGTAATCGGGCAAGTTTATAAGCCCCATTTTTTGTAACTCACGAGTATAACTATTGTAATCGGACAGGTCCATAAGCCCAACTTTTGTATGGGGTCTCTTGACCTATTTTTTGACCGAGAGACCCGACTTGTGGGTACTTGGATCCCTCTTTTGTACTCTAACACTCTACAGCAATACAAAAGTTAACTTTACTCAAAAAAAAAAAAAAATCTTGTTTCCAAGTTTTTATGAAAATTGAACAACTAGAGACCACAAAACCATAGATCCATATGTTGTCAAACAAATAGGTCAACTTCTCCATGAAAATCTTTAAAACATGAAACCCAAATTTTCTATATGGATTATGTATCAAAAAAAAGGCCAATATGGATTTCTGTAAATTAGTTAAAAGGATGCCTAAGGAATGGGTGGAGTGGAGGGAGATAAAGTTTCGATTTTATAATGCAACCATTTTCTGTGGGACTTCAAAGGATTTGACTTAAGATCACACTGCACTTGCCAGGCGAGATCAAGTTGGAAGTGAAATTGAAAAAAAAAAAAATTGGGTGAAGAACAGCAGGGTTTAAAATATTTTTCATTCCACTTCCCAATATTGAAGACACGGGTACACAAATGCTCTAGGGTGAAATGAATCAAAACACATATCATTGAACAATGATTATGTGCAAGACACCTTCAACTAAATTTTATTGTATACCCTTATTTTTAGGATATCATAAAAATGTAAGAGGCAATGCAATGAAGAAGAATGCCCCATCCAATTAAGATGGGCTCAAGTTTCCATAACGAAAGTGGCATGAAGGTTTGGAAGCAACATGGGACAAAAGGTCTGCTATTGACAAACACCACATAGAAGAAAGTTGTCAACATGAGGACATTTAATGTTGTTGAGAAAGCAATCAACACCTCATGGAAGGTGAAGAATGTCACTCTTTTTAAAGAACGTTAACAGAAACTGTCGACTGTCATCCAAGTTAGAATAGATAATGCCTCAATTCCTAGGGCTGACTGGTGAAGGATAAAAACAATCATCACTAAGCATTTTTTGGGTGCCTTATAAGTGGTTCACCAATTGATTTTGACATCAACAAATATGCACACTATAATAGGTTGGAAAAGAAAAAACATATACTCTTTGCCAGAGTATCTGAGAAATGGACAAAAGAATTAAACTTAAGAGTGGAAAAAAAAAAGGGAAGGATGTAGCCCCCCCTTCCTGAACATAGTGTTTGAAGTCATGATTCCTAAGAAAAATGATCACTTCTTTTGAGAATCATAGAGATACTATTTCCATCAACCATCACCACTGTTAAATAATCAGTTAGGTAAGAGTAGACTGCAGTATGTAAATGCTGCTCAATAATGGTCAAAATGATTTTCAGCATATGTGATATAGAAAAGGTGCACAGGATAAATGAGTGTTTATTGATAAGTATTAAGGTAAACAGATCAAAGGCCCTGTTTGGATGCACATATAATTGTCACACAGTAGATCGTATAGCCACAAGCTGTTTGGTGCTCAAGTTGTTCCCAGCGATATGCGGTGTTATGCCGACTTTTGTGTGTAAAAAGGCACAGATCCACCGTGCGGCCATTTTCTAAGAAAAAGTCGTTATGCCTCCATCACGGGTAAGCCTGCTTTGCATAGAATGCTTTGTGACGCATCCAAAAAGGGGTTCAAGGATTAACTTCCAAAAATAATGCAAAGCAAACGAGGATGTGATATGCGATTTAGAAACTGAGCTTCTTTGTTAGTGAGGCAGTGCTATATAGGTTTAGAAACTTGGAGGCATGTGCCTTGTTTATTCTAGAAGGGAAGACTCTTAAGATACAAGGCGCCTTGCAAGGCATCAATGGCAGAAAATAGCTTAATCTCTACAACACGAAAATCCCATCAAAATACAAGAATGGGAAGAAAAAAAAAACCAAATTTTTAACCATCTTACCTTCTTGCAGCTGCCACATCAGTAATCTCAGCTCTAGTTGGGAGACCAGATTTGACAAGAGTTTCCAGAACCTGTGTTGCCCAAATGGCTGGTATGTGTGCTGCATTACAGATAGACAAAATTTCCTCCTGCATATCAGCTAGTTTTTCCCATCCGCATTCTACAGCAAGATCTCCCCGGGCAATCATGACACCCAATGGATTCGGTGACTGCATTGCTTGCAATAGAAGAAGTGGCAATTTCTCAAATCCACCTTGGGTTTCAATCTTCAGCACAATGCCCAAATTTCCAAGCTTTCTCTTTTCTAATTCTCGTTGAAGCATAACAATATCTCGGACATCATTGGCGAATGACACACCAACCATATCTGCATTAGCAGCAACAAATTCCAGATCCACCAGGTCTTTGACAGTGAGACCTTCAAACTGCATATTGCTCTCAGGAATGTTAATAGATTTCTCAGAACCAAGCTTTGAGCCCTTTGGAGCAGCATGAGTGATAGAAACACAAATTTCTGACATGCTTACCCCCCGTATAATGCCCTGAATCTTTCCATCATCAAATTTTATAACTTCACCCGGCTCGACAGAATCAAAAAGACGACCACAAGAGCATGTTATTCTCGCAGTTCCTATGGAAGAGCGCTTATAATCGTTAGATTTTAAGGAGGAATCCCTGGATATAAGAAGTAAGTCACCAACTCTCAATCTAACAAACTGCTGAACAGCAGGCACATCTACTACTCTACCACACCCAAGTTTGTTTTTTCTCCCCTTAATATGTAGTTCTGTACCTGATTCAATATAGGAAGTCTTGGATATCTCAGCCAAGCAACCAACATCAGAAAATACAGGAAATTTCTCAGAGATTTTCAATGTCCTAACCTTCCCTCTTGTGTCAGTAAATCTTAAAATGTCACCCACATTGAGGTTCCTAAGCCATTCTTTATTGTCGACAAATAGCACGGCATCAGGAGATAAGTGTGAAGGAGGTCTCGCACCAGGATAAGACAGCCAAACATGTGCTGGATAAAGCACTGCTCCTTTACCATCTCTCTTTGGCGCTATTTTCATTACATGCGGACCAGTCTCTAGGGGCCCAGTTCGAAGCTTAGGCCCAGCCAAGTCCATTATTACTCTGCAAGGTTTCTCTAGCAATTGTGAACAGTTTTTCACTCTTCTAATTATCTCTCTCCAGACATTAGAATCATCGTGTGCACAATTAATTCTAATTACAGTAGTGCCTGCCTTGAGTAAATCACTAATGAGGTTCTCGTTTTGCATGGCTTCTTGCCCAACAGTCACCATTATGTGAACAGGCCTGCCATCTGGATGCAAACCCAACAGTTTTTCTGCATGCAAAGAAGCCCTTCTCTTCATTTCATGTAAACTGAGCTCGTCCTTTATTTCACGTTGCTTATACCTTAAACCTTCTTGTTGAGATATTGGATTTATCACGCTTGAGTTATCAATCATAGATGAAGGCAGCACAATGTTTTCTCTTGTGCTTCCATGATTGCTGGATAGGTTTTCCAACAACTGAATGCCTGCGGTAACACTTGCAAGAACATATGCATTGATGGTCTCCAGATTTAATAGACCAACAGAAGAAAGGTCTTCTTTGAGTTGTTGAACATCAAGAGATTGCAACGCCACATAATGTATTAGATTTGTTGCGCTAGCAAAGTAATCCCTGCAAACCAAGCATTGAGAAGATCAGGTAAAACCTAGTAGCACATTTCCTGCTCCCCATATGAAATTGCAAGCCAAACCTACCTACTAGTGCGATTTGTATGATTTCAGCAAAAATATATCACTCACCTATGGCACTTTCTCAATCGAGAAGCATTCCACTGCTCCAAAGCTAAAACATGCAACTGCACACCTTTTAGCCTATCAAGAAGATTTCCCTGCTGATGAACAGGCTTTTTAATAGCCACCTCCCAGGATAGGGACGAGGGGTCATGCTTTGAGACTTCTTCCTTTGAAGAGGAAGATGAATCAACAGGTTTTGCATCCACATACTCAGGGCTTACATTTTTCTCTGCAGAATAAAGGGTGGACTTCAGTTTTTCATCAGGATTGTAGGGTTTGCAACTGCTTTTTTCATGATCATTCTTTCCATGTTTGCTAGCCAAAACAAGTGGGTATGCTGCTGACTTCCCCTTTGCTTTGGGGGAAAGCAGGATGAGGTGCTTCCCAAAGATTTCATTTGACAGTGAACATCTTGGAACTGAAAGCAACAGTTTGCACTTTTTTCTTGGAGAAGTAAAATCACACCCAATGTAACCCCAACCTTCCTGCCGTTCAGCAGGTCAATCAAGCTTAGGACTTTATAAGCACCAATGAGAAGAATATAAATAAAAAAAAAAGCAAAACCCAAGTAAGCATCAAGATAATTGAAAGGATCATCCACAGCAAAAATACAATAAAGGAAATGATACATAGGCTCAAAATATAAATGGAAGCACAAAGATCCATAACCTTAATGACAGGGCAATAGAAAACAAAAAACAGAGGTGAACTTCAATTTTAGATACCACAAATTACGAGCAATGAAATGTACTCATTACAAAATAATGTTAAAATCTCCCACCTGAGGCAGATTTCTATCCACAGTTATCAGATGAAATGCTTGGGCTTAGGTTCTTATGTTTTGGGTCTCAACATCAGAAGATTACTTAGATGCATTGCTGTCACATGACAGAAGTACGCAGAGTATCTCATTTCAGGAGAACATTGACTGTTTTTGGTTCTTCCCATCACAAGACCATCTAGACGATGACATTGGCAAACTCCGATGGAGCAACTCTCAAAATATGAGGAGATATACCACTGCATACTTTGTTGATTTCTCAGGGAGGTAAGAAGCGAGTCATTTCAATTCCCAGTGACAAATGCTAAGTCAAGAACTACAATGCTGAAACAGTTTGTTTTGTGCCCTATTGTCAGATTTAGGATCAGATTAGATATCCTTGTCCCATTATGAAATAATATCCATGTTATTTAGTATCCTTCCAATCCTGTACTTCATGATGAATGAAGAATATTGAGGTGGACTCTTATCACTTTACTTGAGAGATGCTACATAGTAATGGTATTCTTATGCCCCAGATTGTCTCATCTAACATATTGTATGGTGTTCACTTGTAGAGAAGGATATACAGTGAGCAAAGCTTTGGCTACTCATGCTTCATCTTTGAGGGAGTATACTGAGTTATGCTTTTGTTATCAACACAATGGAAGTAGAAAATATATAGAGAACATTAAAGAAAAAATAGGACGAAAATTATCAACAAACTGTATTATGCATCATTGCATATGTACAACAATGAAAGTGGAAAATATATGGAAAAAATTATAGAAAAACATGCTCCTCAACTGTGCCAAAACGGATAAGTTACATATATGCTGATGTTGCTTGTAAAGTGGTGTGAGAAAATTAATAGCATATTCTTCAGCATCGTGTATTGATCCATCCTCCCTGTTCAAGAATTATATTTCATATTCATATTCATAAATTTCATAAAATAGATAATTCAACTTTTTGTATGGTAGAAATTAGTTAAGTTTAGTTGTGATAGGAACCGCCATTGGAATATATTCTAAAGGTAGTGTGTCAGTTGTCACATGCAAAGGCCAGCAACTGCCATGATAAGCTTAGCAGCATTAGACCAACACAGCACACCATTATCCAGACCACTCCCCATGAATATCCCTTGGCCAAACTGTCAGAAATGGGAAAAGAACATTCACAGCATAAGACAACCATGGAGGAAGTTCAGTGACAATTGCACGGAAGTGAGAATTTTAGATAATTACATAATTTGCCTCAATGAGTTCAAACATAATTACCTAGATATAGCATTTCATGGGTCCAGAAAATGCACATGATACGGATTTTGAAAGTGAAACTACATATTAAACTTCAAGTGATTGGAAACTTGGATAATAACTAATTGGCTGGGAACCACAGTGACCCATCTGAAAATAGGGAGCAATGTAGATGTAATTGAAGGGCCCAACACGACCCAGGTAATATATTGTGGAATGTAACAAAGGCAAAACATCAGGACAAATTGTTCTAATTCCAGGGCATCCACATTTCAGGTCAATTTATAATTGAAGCACATTCATCTCATTTCTGAGATATGATCACAGCTTCATCAGCTGAATGAGTTTATGAACTGCAGATAGGCAGGTAAACTGCAGCACCTTCAAGTTATGAACTATATTGATACTCAGTGATAATGGGAGATAGAAATAGTACATGGCTTGGTACAAGGCGCTGGCACTGGCCCATGACCAGGTGAGCTGAAAATGTCCCCAGCATCATCTGCAACCACAGTGGTGATCATACATTAACCTGAAAAATATGCAAAGAGATCACATTATTCAGTCACTTCTCAAGGAAGGGGTACTAGGTCATATAATTAACAAAATCAATCACCAAATACAATAGGCCAATTTCAAAAATATTAATAAAAAGCAACAAAGCAGGCAGACACTTAGTGAAAGCTCTCTTTACACATCTCTAAGGAGGTCCAATGGACACCCATACTGAATTATAAAGGCATCTCATGTCTCTTAAAAAAATATTCTCAAATTGGTAAGCCATACTCTTTTAAGTTGAATAAAATCTCAACATATGAAAGTTATAACAGCCAGTACATAAACCAACTACTTCCGGATAACATGGTAAAAAATGATAAGAAAGCAGAAAATTAAAACAATATCAGTATGCATAAGGAATTTGGAATTCATGAATTTCACTTCAATTTCCTCATGAAATAAATCAATTTAAGTTACAATGAAGAAAATGCCTCCTATTACAAACCATGACATCTGGAAGGATGAGCTTGATAACAACAAGACGGCCAGATATATCCTAATAAGAAGTACCAAACAAGATATCCATGAATGGAAATAATTGAATTTTATGTGGTCCTAGAACATGTCATAATGAGGATGCATAACTTGAGCCTACGTGCAGCAATTTGAAATGCATTTCTGCTGGTGAGTACCCGATTTCTTGTTGCCCTTTCACTATGTTCCAACTTGTAAAATATCAAAATAAATTATCCAAGGTGTGGTTTTGGTGCATCAACCTACGCACATTAGAGAAGGATTTTGCATTCAAATTTCACAGATTGATGCTCTCAAACACCATGATAACAAATCTTCGGAAAAAAATAAGAATCTTGAACTGTTAAAAGATAGCCTATTTTGAACTTGTTTTTGAACCGATCATATTAATTATTCACATATAATCAGATCTGCAGTAACTTTGGAGCTGCAAAATCACAGATCTATGGCAGCAATGCATTTGCAGTAGCCTACGATGTGGTTCAGATCCTGAATCCATGAAAAAACACAGTGACCTCATGCATCTCGGGATGCAAATAAATTTTTCATTATCCTATACATTCTACCAATACAGTTCAATCACCCAATCATGTTGTCATCAATTCTGTTCCCCCTTAAACTCAGATACAGCTTGCTATATTCAACAAATCTTAGCAAAATTTAACAATAAATGTAAATTTTGCAAATATTGAACTTTGAATAAGGGGAATATACATATGATGTGTTTATACTTTATATCATAGGGCAAACAGACCAGCCATTGGACTGCCCTCAACAAGAGACAGTGGAGATGAGCTGCTATTCCACTCATTCACTTAAAATAAGAGTAGTGGCTCATCTCTATTGTCGATTGATTTGAATGACAATTGGATGGAAAATATGCACACACACCCTGTTACACTCATGTTTATGATTGATTACCCCTTAAAAGAACAACCAAATCGATTGTACTGCTTGGCCAGTGGTTAGAGCAAAAGTCACCAATGCTAATGTCAAGAATAGATTCTGTGAGTTGCCACACAAAATCAAATAAATAAGAAAGAAAAAGAATATTGCTTGAGGAGGCTGGTGGAGACAAAATGTATTATAAAAACAGTACAGTACACAACCCCTCTACTCAAAAAGAGGATGAAAAGTATTTTCCTTCATATACTAAAGCAAAACCGTAATCCAAATTTATTGTCATGTGTTTCAACTGGACAACATGACATATGTCCAGTCTTGAACACAAGAGATGAGTTTATGTCAAGACAATATCTCTTAAATTAGAGATGCAAGGGCGAGATTATATCTATTACATTTATGGCTTTCACGCCACATGGAGTTCATTATATAATTCAGGGATAATTGCTAACATTCTGTGTCTTACATTTGCAGTTACAAAAAATACTATATATATAGGCTGCAACAGGCACCCATATTAATTACCAAAGTTCCTTTTCGCCTCTTCTCAAAGGCTAAGAATTTATCGAATTTTATTTGATTCCTCTGATCATTGTTTCTCCCAGATGTGCCCCACTTCCTCTTTCCTCAATAGAACTTGTTGGTTTTGTAAAATCCAAGGTTCATTTACTCAGCTCGGGCTCAGGCGAGTCTGAGTGGACTTGCCCAAGTACTGTAGAAACCCAAAAACAGGCATTTTGGAACAAATACAAGAAAACTGTAAGAAAGAAATTAACATGCAAAGTAAACTATTAACAACATTCAAAGTCCAAATAAGATGCAAAAATATATAAAAGATGGATTTAAGAAAAAATGATTTATGGCTGAAAACAATTATGGCATATGACAAGAAAGACTCACAATTCATCATCAAAAACATCAAACTTGTATATAAATAATTTTATAATTTTTAACAAAAAAAATTAGTTTACCCAAATTTGTACACAAGAACTCAGCATGGCAAAAGGCTGCGTCCCAGTGGACTCGTCTGAGTTTTAAAACCTCGGTAAAATTTCATAAATTGTGATTTCTTCATCTGATTGTGGAGCTTTATTGATATTTTTCTCTCTTTTTAACTTTTAAGTTTTTCCTCATGAGGGAGAAAATGGAAAGCAAAAGAAATAGATAAGCTAAAATCTGAATCCAGACTTCTTCAGACCCAAAATTCACAGAGTTTGCAACCAAACATTCCATTAAAAAGCCCACCGAACCCCAGATGAATGAAATTTTGCTCACCAATTCAACAAGTTGCTGATGCAGAGAGAAACTATTCCCATAAACAAGTTAACCCTTGAAAATCACAGAATTTAATGTCCTTAATTTCAGCCTCATAACCACCATATTTCCACTAAAAGAAGACAGTACGAGAATCGAAATGGATCCATAGATGCTACATGAACTCAAAGAATCAGATGAAAAGATTATGACGAAAAAGATGAGCGTGCATAAATGGTTAAAATCGAGAAATCAAAAAGTGAAGAAGAGTAGCTATACCTTCTCTCGAAGAGTGTGGTGAGAAGGGCCCATGGACCTTTTTCCACTCTCTCTCTAAAACATCTCACTGAGGAAAGAGACAAGGGTTTATACAGAGTACGTGGAGAGCACGTGCCATTTTTCCACGTGGCTGGGTCTAATTGAGCCTGCTTACCTGGCATATGAATGTAAAACTCTACGAAGTCTTTAGATAACTTTTTTATTTTATTGTTTTTCTGAATCTCTTTTATTTACTTTGGGAACAAAATTACGTATACATCTTTTATATTTAGCATTATAACAAAAATACCTTTTAGTTTGTGATATTGCATATATACTCGTTTTTTAAACCTCATAACAATTTTTTTAAAAAGATAAAATTACCCATTTTCAGTTTTTGAAAAACTTAAATCTTTAAAAAAAATTGTTTTTAAAAAATCGAATATCTAATACAAGCAGAATCTATCTATAATACAAGTAGAATCTTTGAATTTATCTATAATAGGTGCGGTTTTTATAATGTTGCAACCTTAAACAATCCAATTAAGGTGCACATCCAAATTTTATCATAACATGTAATTTTGTTGTAAAAAACTCTTAGTATTATTTTAAGAGTAATGATCCTATAGGACCCCTCTCTCCACCTAGGATCCTAAAGGATCACCATTAAAGTTGACATGGATCTCTAAAAAAGTTATTACATTGGTGTGGGACTTGACTTTTCTATAGATCCGTATTAAATATAATGGTGATCTTTTGGGGTCCTACACACATGGGTGGGAGAAGGTCCTATAAGATCATTTCTATTATATATTATATATAATATAATATTTAGTATAATATAAGATATTCATGTATTATATAATATAATAATATAAATACGATATATGATATATATTTAATATAATAAAAATATGCATTACATTTATATATTATATATAATATATAATGGGTGCAATTTGTATAAAGCCTAGGCTCTAAACAATCAAATTGGAGCCAACCTTTAAATAGTATCGAGAAATGTAGTTTCAACACTAGAAATCTTTGTAATAACCTTAAAATATATTTTCATCTCTATTTATATAGTTTAAGGCTTCAAAAATGGTGTAGATTAATAGATCTATAAAAATCTTGAAAATTGACGATCAAAAAATGCATTACAAAATACATTATTTCCATAACTTAAAATCAAAATTTTTCTCATATCCATGCATCTTGATGTCGAGATGATCAATTTGAGGACTTTTGGGCATCAAAATAATCTTGTCTAGCAAAATTTTTGTGGTAGGCTCTAATGTGATTGTTTAGAGCCTCGGCTCTATATAACCTTTTCCCATATATAATAGCATATAATATATAATCAATATATACTTTATAATATAAGTTATATTAATAAAATAAATATTAATATAATATAATATATATATTAGACGTAATCTTATAATATTATATTATATATTACTATGTTATAACAATATTATATTATATAATACTATGTTATAGCAATATTATATTATATCATATCATAGTATTAATATTAATATTATGTATTTGTAATATCTATTATGAATAATGATCAACAAAAATGTTTTGAATGATTAAGTTCGTAACCTTCCCCCTAAGAGCTTAATCATTCAATTTTTAGCAAAGGATTGGGAACTTTATTGAAAGATTACTTTTTGATGGAATCCGCACGTCAAACGCGGAACATTTTGAAAATCATAAAGATTTATTTCTTAAATAATACTATCCAAAAAAATAAACATGCCCTTAGAGAGAAGAAAAAGAGAGAGTTATTATTCTCTGACATAAAAGAAAAAGAGAGATATAGTTATCTTTCTTCTTAGAGAGAAGAATATGATGAAAGAGAGTCAATGATCATCTTCTTAAATCATTTATTTATAGAGAGAAAATAGAAAAAAAAAGAGATAAATATAGTATTTGTGTGGGTTTATCATAGTATCTCGTAGAGAGAGAATAGCCTAAGGAAGATATAATTCCTAGAGAGAAGGAAAGTCTTTGAGAGAGCGAATCTCATAGGATAAAAACCTAGAGAGAGAAAGTCTCTAAAAGAAATTAGGAAGCCAAATCAAGCTTGTTTATAAGAAGACTATTGTAACCATTAAGTTAATAGCGGATTTGTATCTTTATCCCGTAGACGTAGCTTGAAAAGGTGAACCACATAAATCTTGGTGCTAGTAAGTTTTGTTTCTTATTTATTTTATTTGCATGTTTTACCACTCATACACACATATCGACTTTAGCATATTTTTGTGTCCCATATATCTACGTTCTACTGCGCTCGTCCATATTCATGTGAGAGGGCTCTAATTGGAGGAGCCCAACATTCTTTACAATAAGTGAAAAAGATAAACATATGGGCTATATGATATCGCCACACATTGGACATATGTGAGCCATACATGTAGTACATATGTGGCCACATGGATCCCAAAAGTGTCACATGAGCCCACAAGGCATGGGATTTCTAGTGTAAAACTAAAGTAATGGTCCAATTAAAACAAGGGTGTTTTATATCTTAGGAGTCTTGGAATGGGTGTTTCTTGTATCGATGGGGTTTCTATGAGTCGCTGACTTATATGTATATATGTGGTCTCCCACTAAAATTCATTTTTAATGTATTTTTTTTTAATATTGTTTTTGTAGATTCATCATCTAGGCCAGGAGGATCATAAATATGAAACGAAAAACAAATTTTTAAAATAAAAAATATAATTTTTTAGTATTTTTTTTGCACCGTACATATCTTATTTATAGACAATACACTTTAGATAACATCTACCTTTAGGATGGATGTTTGTAAGTTAGTAGGTTCTTGCGCATTCTGACTCATGAAACAATTTTCTTTTATGTATTTATGTTTTCCTAATATCAAATATTTATAACTTCTTTGGAGAGATATTATGAATTCTAGTGGTATTAGGAAACCTATTGTGAACCCTTTTTTGGGATTCGGAAATGAATTGTATTTGAACATTGGAAATGAATTATATTTGAAAATTTAAAAGAAACTTATGGAGCACTAACTAGTAGAGAGATGAGTGAGTTTTTTGTGACAATATGTCTACATCAAATGTCAGCATTGAGCCCGTACCACTTTGTCTTAATTATGGGTGACTTAATTAGGGACATACATGACGATGTACATTGGTGTATGTTGTTTGTAGATGATAAAATTTTGATCGAAGAGACTCGAAACAGCGTCAACACAAAGCTAGAATTTTGAAGGGACGCTTCCAAAAGTTTTAAAATTAGCATGACTAAGACAGAATTTATGGAATGCAAGTTTAGTAATAATAGGATTAGAAATGATGAAGTAGTTAAGATTGATGACACTTTCAATATATCGGGTTGATAATCCATGAAAATAGATAGATTGATGAAGTGTTGCACATAAAATTAGAGTTTGGTGGGGGAAGTGGAGATGTGCAACAAGAATTTTATGTGGTTGCCGCTTACTAATGAAGCTGAAGGGTAAGATGTATAGGACAACTGTGAGACCAGCTTTGCTTTATAAGGTGGAATGTTAGGCGGATAAAAAAAAAAAAATCTATAAAATGAGTATAACAGAGATGAGGATGTTGAGATAGATGAGTGACAAGACAATAAATGATAGAATTCAAAATGAATTCATTCGAGAGAATTTAGGTGTGGCACTAGTAGGCGATAAGATGAGAGAGAGTAGACTTAGGTGGGTTGGCCATGTGTGGTGCCGACCAAGTACAACACCTGTTAGGAGGTGTGAGTTAGTTAAGTAGAAAAACTGAAAAGGGCAAGGGGTAGGCTCAATAGGGCCGTGGATGGAAGTAGTTCGAACAGGATATGAGGACTTATGACGTCATTGAGTGTATGACTTTTAATAGGCAGAATGACGAACCGAGATTCGTATAGCCGACCTCAATTAATTGGGAAAATGATATAATGATGATGATTATGATGATGATGAAAGAAAAAATACCCATGGTGGTGTGATTTTCATTCTTACGTCATGGTGGCTGGTTGTAGAACGAATGACTGAGATTAAAAGCCTGTCTCGCCCTATAGATTTCCTATTTCTAATCAAAGGCAAAATCAATTTCTTTTTATACCTTAGATAAGTAATTTTAAATGGACATTGATCCCATTTTGCCCTTTATGTAAAAAACATGAGATTCCGGCTCTAAATTTCACCTAAACTCAACTTGAAAAAGAAAAGCAAGGCTCTAGGGAAGTTACATGAGAAAAAAAAAGAAGAAGAGAGAAGCTGAGACCCTAGGCATAGTCACTTGAGAGAGACCCTAAAAGATAAAAATAAAGCCTAATAAGAGAGAAACCGCTAGAGAATAGGGTGTGAGTTCACTTCTCCTTTTATTTTTCTTCCTAATCAAGGTGGAGGAATAGGACTTTGCCTTATGATTGGTGTGTCATTGATCTAAGGAGATCATGTAGGATGTATAGAGCCTTTGGAGGTGATCCTAGGCAACTTTCTTGATATGTACTCTTATTGATGTTTTTTTCTTTAATGGTTGTTTTGGGAATATGATCGCAATAAATTATGGGCTACTCTTGTTTCCTTTCCATGCTTTATTGTGCTATCATGATGGTGGAATTATGTAACACCACCAGTAAGTGGGGTTGTAGCTATTTGTAAAAAGTGTAAAGAAAACTTTTGAAATTCAGCAAGTCCCACTATAGTTGCTCTCAATGATATCAATGCTTATGTTTTTGTTGCTTGTTATTCTTCTTTGTTTTCTATATGTTTTTTTGGTTATGACCGTTGTGGTTTCCAATCAGTTCATGGCCGAGTTTCGTAAGTTCGAAGAGTTTAATGGGTCAAATTACATCTCATGGAAGAGGAAGATTGGATACATTCTCAACGAGGATGCACCCAGCCACATGCTTACTTACACTTGCCCATTGAAACCTTAATCAACAGTCAATTGGGACTTATTTGATTGGTTTTAGGGTCTAAAAACCCTAGAATCAACATAAGGATATGTTTCAAATGGTTAAAGGCGGGAAACAATCAAAGTTTTGACCAAGTTGAAATCTTGGCTTATTTGACAATTTCCTAGCCAAGTTTTGAGTGTGGTATGGTGAGTTTGAATCTTCTCTGGTTCCAAAACATCCCCATTTTTTTTTTACCATCAGTTAACCATCATTGTGCAAATTTTAGGGCTTCATGCCTAAAACTAGCTTGACCAAGAGACCATAAAGATTTTGACAGGGCTTCAAACAATTAGGTCGGGTTGTGCTTTTGGTCTTGGAGAGTTGGGCCACTACAGAGGTTACTTTCACGGCTTGATTCACCCCCAACTTTGAATTTGCTTCTCAATTGTTCTCCATTGGCCTTGGTGAGAGGTATGGTTGTTCAAAATTTGAGCTTAATCTAATATAAAAAGTTAGGACTCTCAATCATCTAATCAAAATTGGACCTCTTAGACTTTCTTTTTTTTTTTTTTTTTTGAGCAATACAAGCATATCGTACATCCAATAATTTAAGCCGCTCTTTTGGGCTAAAAAGGGACAAATTTAGGCTATTTAGGCAATGGATGTCTGAATTGTGCACGTTTATCGTTTTTTCGGTGAAAGAGCATTTAGATGTTAGATGTCCACATCCAAGTTATAAAAAAAGGGAAAAAAAAAGAAAGTAGTTTTGAGATCCAATGTCCAAATTGCTTTCTAACTTTGAAAAAATGCAAATTGAGATATAAAGGAAAATACTTAATCATAAAATATGGAAAAACTTTATATATTTCTCTGCTATATATATTTTGTATATTTCCCCGTCTCCCAACTATCAGATTTGAATGGCTGGCTGATATTGCCCCAATCACAATGTCACATTTATACATTATTTTATCCTTTAGTTTTTTCTATAAAACATTTTGATGCTACATTTAGGGTATCCACTCCTCTCCTAAACTTGCACCTGCTAAAAATATACAAAATACTATCCATAAAATAAAATAACCAAAATACCCTTGAAAGTTTTAAGGGCATTTTGCTCATTTTATTTTTTAAAAATATTCTTTAATATTTTCCCCATTGAGACGATGACAGTACCAAATTTCATCTTCATATGATTCGTAGAAAAATTTAAAAGAAAAATACTATGAGACATCATATCTAGATCACACAATCGGTGCTCACTTGTGATATTTTGAGACAAGGAACCTCAACCAACCATTTAAACTGGGTGGCCGGATAGGAGGGGAAATATATAAAAGGTATATGGCGGGGAAGTATAGAAAGTTTTCCTGTAAAATTTAACTTATGTAAGCATTATTTTAAATTTCAATATTTGCATAAGACTCTTGCGTAAGTTTCCGGAATGTCTAGAAACTCAATTTTTTTTGTAAGTATCCGTGATGATTTAAAGTGAACTCCAAAACCTTAAAGTAATGGTTGTGGTTTGTATAAGGTTGCAACCTTAAACAATTCAATTAAGGCACACCTCCAAATTTTATCATAACATGTAATTTTGGTGTAAAAATTTATTAGGATTATCTAAAAATCTATTTTCATATCTAATTATAATATTTTAAACTAAAAAAATAGTTAAAATCAAGTAGATATATAAATATATGAAAATTTTGAAAATGAACGGTCAAGATAATGTGTTGCAAAATGCACCATATATAGGACTCAAAATATTTTTTTATTTATTTTCATATTCATACATGTCGATGTTGAGGTGATCAATTAGAGGTTTTTTTAGCATTAAAACAACCTTTTTCTGATGGATTTTTTAGGTGTATCATTATTTCTATATTTTTAAGGTTGCAACTTTATATAATTTTTTTGAAAAAATTATATAAATATTCATTATATTTATTGTTATTACAAAAGTACCTTTTAGCTTCTTTTATTACAGATATGTCTGTTTTTTCAACTTCATAATGTGTTTTTTTAAAAAAGACTGAACTACCTATGTTTGATTTTTCAAAAACCGAAATCTCTAAAGTTTTAGTTTTTCGAAACCACAAATTTTACAATTTTATGTTTTTCAAATACCAAAATTAATAATTTTTTATTTTGAATAATCGAATATTTATACGGGTTCCAAATATTTATAATCCCTTTCTAAAAAAAATGACGTTGTTTATTATAATAAGAGCTCAAATATAAATTAGATATGCTAAGGTGTCTTTTTGGTTAGCATGCTTGCATGAACTTTGGCTTTGTTGGGAGTTCAAATCCCCTAGCATGGACAACCCGACCACCACCACACCAACCGAGAACTTATAAATCAAAGATTCTACTTCTATTATAGATAGGAAAAATTTACGTAAGGTTGCAACCTTAAAATGTAGAATTGCATATGCACCTCAAAAATCTTTCGGAAAGGTTGTTTTAATGATGAAAAATCTTTCATTTGATCATCTCAATATCAAGATGTATGAATAATATAAAAAAAAATAAAATTTTAATCTAAAAAATAATGCATCTTGCAACATATTGTCTAGACCGTCCATTTTAAAGATTTTCATATGTTTATAGATCTCTTTGATTTTAACTATTTTTGGAGTTTAAATTTTATAATTAGATATGAAAATAGATTTTAAGATAAGAGAAATGATCCTATAGGACCCTCCCCCACCCATGTGTGTAGAATCCCAAAAGATCATCATTAAATTTGGCATGGATCTATAGAAAAGTCAAGTCCCACACCCATGTAATAAGTTTTATAGAGATCCGTGTCAATTTTAATAGTGATCCTTTGGGATCCTACATACATGGGTAGAGGAGGGTTCTATAAGATCATTATTCAGTATATAAATATCTTATATTATATTATATTTGTATTATATATAATATTTATATTATTATATTATATATAATGTTTAATTATCTTATATTATACTATATATTATATATAATATATAAATATATTATATTACATTATATATAATATATATAATATATTATATTATGTTATATATAATATAGTGTATATATGTTATCAAACATAGTATCTATGGGTTTTTTAATATTCTAAGAGGTTATCAAACATAATATCCATAATTTTTTAGACATTTCAAACAAAATATTCAACTTTTTAGAATATATTTCTCAGAAAAACAAACCCACCCGAAGGATAGCTTTTTCTCTCATTTTCTTATTCTTTGTGAAAGAAGGTTTTATGTATTTTAATTTACCTAAAAAAACAAGTCCCCCGAATAAATTGCCAAAAGAGAGGTGCGCCCCCAAAAATGTCCCTCGAGAGTGCCTTTGATTAAAACCCAACTAAGCAACCGCATACCCCTCAAGTGATTGCTTTCCCAATGGATTTTTAAGATGCACCGGGTATAAATTTTTTCCTAATTTAAATCCAATGGTTTTGAATACCATCACCCCGTTTCCTTCAGAAAATGGAACCAAACATATTTTCATGCCCTCTCGCGCGATTTAGAAAAATCAGCGGGTGAAGAGATTGTTCACCGGCCTTCTCGCAATCACAATTAGCTTAAAAAGAAAGAGAGAGATAAAATCTTCTTCTTCTTCTTCTTGCTCTGATGGCTTCTGGACCGGAGTCGCCGTTTCAGAAATCTCAAGATTCCATGGCTACATTTCTCCAATCCCTTCCTTTCAAGCTCTTTTCTACTTTCCCTCTCAACATAAACAAGCCAAAGCCCAAAGAGATTTTCAGTTCCACCAAAAGTAGTGGAGAATCCATCATCTTCGCAGATGGAGCCATGGCCATGTCTTCGCCCTTCTCGTCCTCTTCTCTTGTGTCTTCGAGCTATCAGAACAATGAGTTAGCCTCTCCTTCTTCTTCAGTGAAGAGGATGTCAAGTGGGTTTCCCTCTAACGTGAGGATTGATGGGCTAGCCTCGAATTTGAAGGGAGGTCCAGCCTTTGTCGGGCAAGTATTCAGCATGTGTGACCCTTCTGGTACAGGCCTCATGGCTGTTAGTTCTCGTGTTGAAATCCCATTCTCAGCGAGGTAAATATTTTGTGATGCTTACCCTTTTTGCTGGGGATTAATTTGCTTTATTGAGCGTATTTTGATTTTGTCACTTGTGCAACCCTTAGGTTTGCATTGCCTCTTACATCTTGTTGGAAAGATTGCATTCCTTATAAGCAAGAATATTAGCATCAAACTGATTGAAATTCCCTCAAGGACATCAAACTAATAACATGAAGTCCTTTATTTTTCGATAACATGAACCCTTACAGCTTCTTTCAACTTGATATGGCAAGTAAAAATTGGTGAAAGAGAACTATGGAAATGAAAAAAGAAATCGGTAAATAGAGTTTTTCTTCTGATGTTCTTGTGGCCAAAATTAGTCAATGGCTTGTTTTATTGTTCATGATGGCCTTTAATTAAAGAAGAAATTAGTAGACAATTGAAGTTGCTCCATAGTTGTTTGCACAAAACATGATATGAACTAACAATTTTTGGCTTGATGTTGTAACATAACACAAAAACTTAGTTCCACCTCTTGCTTCACATTTCCCCCATGAAATAATTGTTTTACCACGAGAACATTAATGGAGTCATGATTTCTGAATATTTGGGGTTCCAGCTCGTAGAATCTAGGTATCCTCTAAGTTAGTTTGCCAGAGATAGGCAGTGGAGGAAAATAATAAGCCAAACGCTTTGTGTAGATTTTATACTTTAAAAGTTCAAATAATGCCCCGAATTGCCAAATAATTTAGTTTCTGCGGAGCTGCCATTAATTGTCTATTCACAGGCCCTGAATTGACAAAGAATTTAGTTTATGCGGAGATGTCAGAATTGTCTACTCACATGGACAACATGTTTTATTTAAAAAAAAAAACATGCATAACTTTTGGGCGAGAAATAATCATGTAGAGAAGACTGCCCACAAATTGTTAGTGACACGCATGTCCTGAACCTATCTGCCAAGCTTAGATGATAACTTCACATTCAGCTCAAGTGGATATATGAGAGTAGCTCTAGTTCTAAGATCTTAAGTATATGGTTGACGTGAGAAGATATAGCCGTGATGATATTATGCAGGTTTAATGCTACCTCAATACGTTAGTGTTCCAATGTCATTAATGTGAAATTATGCATGGAGCTGCTTGTGATGCCAGGCAACAAGATTTTTACAACTTCATCAAGGACAATCTAGAGGTTGAAGAGATGAAAATATAGAGGTTGAAGCTTAGAAAGAGATAGAAGTGGATATGACAGGTTTCTGGTGGAATTTTTTTGAGATTAGGTTTTTGGCAGAATTGGGAATACATAAAATGAAAAAAGGTTAAACGATTGGCACAATGGTCATGTTTATTAAGCAATGAATTTGTGACGGGCTTGGCTGGATTATGTGAATCAACAGGGAAATAAGTTTGGTTACGAGTTTGAAACTATAAGCTTTCTGGTGCCTCTAGTAAATAGGCATAAAAATGGGCAGACATGATGAAAATGAAAATGTAGAGGGAAATTGTTGTTATTACGATTCTATTGTCAAAATTTTCTTGCGCTTATTTATTGTTGTCTGGATTATGTGGCCATATCATTATCCAAACAAGAGCTTGCAAGCTCACTTGCTCTTAGGCCCCTTTGCCCTCTTTACCTTATCCTTGATTGTCGATCCCATAGGGACTTTAGGGCCTTCTAGTGATATTTGGGCTTAAGGGGTCAGTTTGAGACGCACTTATTAGGGCGGGATTGGGTTGGGGTTTGGTAGGCCAATTAGAAGTAGATTTCTTAGAGTGAAAGACCTAAAGAGTATTGGCCCACACCCTCCGTCTCGTTCGAAACAAGCAGTACTAAGCAACCATAGAGATTAAAGTTGTATTTACGTATATATCAAGAGATTGATTATGAGCGCTCACACCCGGCATAATTTACTCTAGTATTCGCTCCGCAATCAACTCCTTCAATTGCAGACCTTTGAAGCCGATTGGATTCCCTTGGTGCTGCTGCTGGCTCTGGTTCCTCACCACCTATAAGCACGAAGCCGACCTTGCCCATAACAGACTTGCCCATGGCAAGGGTATTGGGCTTTGGATTTTTGGGGAAAGTCCCAAAAAAAAGATAGAGGGAGAATATAAAGGAAAAGAGAGCAGTCCACAAGAACATGTCCAAGAGAGATGCCAAGACGCCACCCACATCAAAAAAAGATGGGCCTAAGAAACGTGAATCATCCAAAACAACCACCAAAAAATACCTAACACTACGACCCATCAATCCCAAAAAATGCTGACCCAAAATTACCATGGATTATGGGTCGACATCATTGCCCGTGATCTTGTCATCAGTAGGAACGAGGGCATTTATAGGCAAAAATACTTGGCGGTGCTAGCTAAAATCAATGGATAGGAATTCAGCTTCTAGCCTGTCGACTTGATCCTTCATAGTCCTTTACCCATACTCCTAGAGCTCATTGACCCATTTTGAGCTCGTAAGTTCCTCTTGTAAGTCCGACTTATGAGTTAACATGGACTTATTGAAGAGGAGGTCCTCACACAACCTCTTCTCAGTAGATAGCTCTATTCCTACATTAGACATGAATAAAACAGCCTCACGGGCAGCTGATTGCTCTGCTGTTCTCTTGCTGAATGACATACCACCCATGAAAGTGTGGTCCCAAATGTGTACAGTGGCCTCGTACATCCTAATATTAGAAAAATCATATTCCGTTATCACATAATATGGTGCAGGGGCATTGTTTTTCTTAGTATCAAGTTGTGGAAGGTGCTTATATGAAACAAGACCCAGGTCAGCTCCACATTGTCGGGGGACAGCTTGAGGATGGGCCGGAAGGTTAATCGAGGACTGACTGGTGGCCATTTAATACCTATAATACTTCGTGGGAGGAAGGCCTTATGCAAAATTTAAAAATAGAAAAGAAAACCATTCCTCATCCATTCTAATGTCACTAAACCATAATGAAATGATCAACTGTAGTATGCAAGGCTAAAACATGAATTAAAAGCATCTATTTAGAAAACAGTTTGTGATCGGCAAAAGTAAATACCATTTTCCATAGAACAACAACAAGCCATTTAGAAAACAGTCAGTGATCGTGTAAATTTTTTTAGCATCTTCCATAGAACAACAACAAACTATTTAGAAATTAGTTTGTAAATTGGCAAAAGTAAATACCATCTTCCATAGAACAACATCAAACCATTTAGGAAACAATTTGTGATCGGCACAAGTAAAGAGCATCTGTCATAGAACAACAGGAACAAATAGGTCATCTTCCATAAACTAACAACAAACCATTTACAAAGCAGTTTGTGATCAGCAAAAGTGTGTGGCATCTTCCATAGAATGACATGAACAAATAGCATAACCCATAGAGTACTACATATCAGCAAATCGTAGCATTACAACATCCATGCACCATAACACCACATTGTAGGATTAAAACATCATCCATGCAACATAAAACATAGTTCATTAAGACATCCATGCACCATGAAGTATTGCCAATCAGTCCTCAATTAACCTTCAAGACCCTCCTTAAGCTGCCCCCCATTAATGTGGAGCTGATTCGGGTCTTGTTTCATATAAGCATCTTCTACAACTTGAGAATGAGAAAAATATGATTTTCCTGATGCTAAGATGTATAAGGCCATTGTACACATTCGAGACTACACTTCACGGGTGGTATTTCATTTAACAGGAGAGCAGCAGAGCAATCTGTTGCTCGTGAGGCTTTTTTATTCATGTTTAATGTAGGAATAGAGCTATCTAATGCGGAGAGGTCGCACGAGGCCGTCTTCTTCAATGAGTCCTTGTTGACTTATAACTCAAACTTGCAAGAGGAAGTTGCGAGCTCAAAATGGGTCAACGAGGTCTTGGAGGATGTGCGAAGGACTATGAAGGATCAAGTCAACATGCTAGAAGCAGAGTTGCAGTAGCTTCTCTCTGTGCATCATGACCTATCCACTGATTTTGGCTAACGACGCTCGATCATTTTGCTTATGGATGACCTTGTTCCTACTGATGACATGATTACGTGCTCCGCTGTCGACCCATAGTCCATGGTAACTTTGGGTCAGCATTTTTTGGGGTTGATGGGTCGTAGTGTTCTGTATTTTTTGGTGGTTGTTTTGGATGACACATGTTTCCTAGGCCCATATTTTTTTGATGTTGGTGGCATCTTGGAATCTCTCTTGGATATGTTCTTATGGACTGCTCTGTTCTCCTTTATCTTCTCTCTCTATCTTTTTTTTTGGACTTTTCCCAAAAATCCAAAGCCCAGTAACCTTACCATGGGCAAGTGTGTGTTACGGGCTTCCAAATCAATCTTTTGATATATACATAAATACAACTTTAATCTTTATGGTTGCTTTACCCTTTTCTCAAGGGAGTTCCTTGCTTTTTATCCATGCGAGTCATGCTCTTATATTCTTGAACCTGGCCTCTATTGTGCTTACTATGGCGTGGTGGCTCATAGCGTGAGGGAAGAAAATGCGGGAAGAGATATGCCTGTTTCCGAATTAGTTTCTCTTCCTATATCAAGTTGGAACATTGATGCTCTTGCTTGTTTATATCTCGACAGCTATAGCAATACGTATTTCTCTATTGCTTGAGTCAATTTCATACGAACTTTTTCAAATTTTTTGGCTGTATTACACGAAGTTGTGGTGGTTTGTTGGGTTTTTGTGGCCATTTAAAGGCCTTACGAGAGAAGGTAATCAATTTATGATAGTGGAACAATGAACTCCAAGTAGTATGGTCTAGAGGGACTGAAGTTAAAAATTCTTATGTTGAGACTCAAACAAAGCTTAACAATATAGGCCGAGTTGAGTTGTAAAACCCTATGATACCTGGGCATATAGCACAACCGAGAAGCGTGGGGCCCTCAAGTCCCTCCATGGGTGGCACGCCCCACCTCTCTCTCTCTCTCTCTTTCTATTTGTGTTGTCTACTTGGCTTCCCCTGTCACTCCCTCCCTCTCTCTCTCTTGCAGGGACAATCTCTCTCTCACTCTCTTTCATAGGGACAATCTCTCTCTC